AAAGTTTTGGCGTGCATAAAGTTTTTTGGTACGTCGGGTAGAATGTCAGTCAATAATGTAATAACGATAATGTTTATAATGGTTATAATGGTTATAATGGTTATAATGTTTCTAATGGTTATAATGTTTATAATGTTTATAATGTTTATAATATTTATAATATTTATGTTACTCACATATACTAACACAAACCTAACACAACCTAACACATCCTAAAATAACCTAACACATCCTAAAACAACCTAACACATCCATACACATCCATACACATCCTAACACATCCATACACATCCTAACACATCCAGTCTAAACATGGTATTTCTTGCCGAGACCTCAATTGAGGATTAAATTAAGGCTATGCACCTTAGCTCATCTAGCATATACGTACATATTCATTGTAGTTCCATTATTCCTGTGGGTAACTTTGACCCAAATTGTGTTGATCGATATTCCATCTAGCATAGCGATAGTGCATAGTGAAAGTGCATAGTGAAAGTGCATAGCGATAGTGCATAGCGATAGGGTATAGACAATACAGACAATACGGACAATACATACTATGCAGGCACTACAGAACTACAAAAACTACAAGAACTACAAAAACTACAGGAACTACAGGAACCGAGCGAGACTAATTCTTTTCGCGTTTTTTTAAATTTTTTTAAAATTTCATTTAAAATTTAAATATTATTAATAATGTATTAGTAATATTGGTGTTAAATTGTTAGTTAGTGTACATGCATACATCCATATATAAAATATATAAAATGATAATAAGAATATATACGTAAACGTGAAAGACAAGAAGGTCTTAGCTAGAATTATTAGATATAAAGTTTATTGGACAAAGTTATTGGACATAAAGTTTAGTGGATGCAATGCATCCAATAACCCTATATCCAATAACTCTATATCCAATAAAACTCTATATTATCAATATTATATGGAAAGCTCTCGTGTTGTTTAACTTTATTAGCGTTAGATATTTTTAACAGAATTTTGAAACTGGAATGTTTACATGTCATTCCGTAAATTCCGTACGTATAAAGATCATGAGATCAAAATGTTATTGTCATGAACGCGAAAAAACATTCTATTACATTATTGGATTTACAATAAGGTCAATAAAGTAATAATACAGTAATGTCATTATCGTTTATCAAAAATAAAATGTTACGCGAAAATAAACATACCGGTAAAAAAGTACTTTAAAGTACGGATATACTTGTTTCAAGAAAATCTTTATAATAAGAAGGTTGTATATAATAAGAGTTTTGTAATACAAATAAATAGACTCCGTAACTTTAATTACTACATTACTACGGCTAAGAAATTCTACATTTTGTGTTCATTCTTTGACCGAATTAAGTTAGACGGAGAATAAAAACCAGTTGGAAATTAAAAATCAACGTTTTAACCAACCAGTGCGTGACGGCCAAAAACGGGAGTAACCGTTTACAACGGCTTTTCGCAGCGTAAACAATCAAGCAATTGATCAAAGCGAACCTAATAAACTAGTTTTGAATTGACCGACTAACTAACGATAGATGCGAAATAACTTTTAAATAAATTTATAATAAAATTTATTTTGGAAATGAACCATTCCAATTTTTTTCAAAAAGGGGATGGCGTTGCCAAATAGGTTAGATTTTAAGTTGAGAATGTTTAACAAGCATTCTAATTTTAATGTTTTTGTCTAACCTTAATATTATTCGTTTTTCTAGTGAACTTAAATCATCCGAGTTATTCGAGTTATCCGAGTTATCCGAATTATCATCCGGATATACTGACCAAGATTTAAGTTCTTGTGTTTGCACATTCCTGCACATTCTTGAGGTTGATTTATCTAATCATCTTATCTAAGCATCATTTGTTTATGTATCAAAAAGTATCTCAACAAAAAAAAGTACGTACGTAACGTACGTATCAGGATTTACGTACTATACGTAGGAAGGAATCATTCTAAATTAGGTAAAATTCTTTATAAAGTAGCCTTACCCTTTATTCTTGTATTCCAATATTAGTAAAACATATCAAGATAAAAGAATCGCAAAGTGCTAAAGTGAGCGACAAAGAAAAAAAAAACAAATAATACCAGATACACATGTACGTATATCCATACATACTGATACGTACAGTACGTACTGTACGTACGTACGTGTGTAGGTTTGATATATTGTTTTAAATCACACTTTCATCTATCACGTACATACTAGTTTTTCCGTTTTTCTTACAAAACTTATAATCGATTAATATTATTGGTTCCCACTAATAAAAAGTTTTTTCCTTAAATTTTTGCTATTTGTTAGTTTCTTTTTAGCGTTTTGACCACTGCATTTTAATACAAAATCGTATGCAAGTTTAAATGCAAGTTTAAATGCAAGTTTAAAGTCAAGGGGAAGGTTTCTCCTAATGTAGTTGAGTGATTCAAATCCATTTTCTTTGAACGAGATTCTAATTTAAAAGTGGCTATGATAGTAATTATAGTAATGATATGTACGATAAGTAATGATATGTAGTGACGATAGTAATTGATAGTAATTAATAGCAATTAATAGAAATTAATAGCAATTAATAGCAATTAATAGTTATGAATAGTTAATTAATAGTAAATACATTTATATTTTTTATTAATTTTATCAAATGTTCAATTTTGACTAGTTATTGATGTTTCGCTTTGATTTTGAGTTTTACAATTTACTTCCAAAAACAGTTAAAATGTAGTGAGATCAAACCCTCCTCTTCATTGTACTCGCGTAAACCTGAAACTTTCAAAAACCTTAAAAGATTTAATGCAGGATCAAAAAAAGTTGGATTTCGTGCAAAAATGATTTGATAATTCATGCATCTCTTTTTTCAATCCTTCAAAAATTGTAACGTTGAACTGCATTCCTAAAAAAAGTTTTGATCATACGCGAATGAATGTTCTTTTTTTCATGAAACAATAGACACGCGCAAAAAAGAAATGATAAAATTAATCGCGCGATTGGTTTATGCTAAATACATACATAAATAACAGATAAGTTAACATATGCACAAGGTAACGTATACGTACGTACGTACGTGGAGATTTTTTTGGTGTGCTATTCGTCATATTATTTATGTAGGTTTTTAAACCAGTTCGTGGTTAGTGGTTCATGATCTATGGTTTATCGTTATCGTTCGTGGTTTATCAAAAAAAAATCATGCATATATTTTTAGGTAGGTACGTACGTAAAAAAAGTGATCCATCACAAGCAAATTTAATCAAAAACAAAAGGAGAAAATCTTTAGTTTTCATGCACGTAAAATTCCGTAAAAAACCCAAAAACTCGTAAAAAAACCCCAACTCATAGATACATTATCACGCATAAACAGTCAATAAAAAATATTTGCACATTTGCAGGCAGACCAGACAAGATTTTTTTTGCTTTCTAAAAAAAAAACTCCATGATTTTTTTTTTTTGTCTTTTGTTCTTTAATTATATGATTATTTTAAATAATACAAATTAAAAAGTAATATATAATTATTAAAAGAAAATATTAACTATTGTAAAGAACTACTTAGTTATTAATCTTGTGCTTTTTAAGAAAAAGGAACGATCATCACTTTTTCCTCTTGAACAAAACAAAAAAAAAAAAAAAAATAAGGGTGTCCCAAAACATCAATGAAATATAAACAGAAACTTGTGGCGTGAAAAGATCCACAACAATTAAAAGAACTAAATGAACTAAATGAACTAAATGAACTAAATTTGTCGCAAATGAAAAAAAAAACCAGGTGCTTTTTTTTTTCTAACCAACCGAGATGCTAGGCTAGTTGATAAAGGAACAAGTCTTTTCTAGAAATATCTCTCAACAAAAATACTAAAAAAAAAACTAGTACTGTAAAATGATAATTTCTCAATTGCAAAAATAGGAACCATCGCGCGAACTACATTTATTATAACTTGAAAAACTGAACTAGAAGACTTGACTAAAAAAAATAAAAAAGAGCATCATCAAAGAATCAAAGAAATAAAAAAAGGAAATTCCGAAAATAATAAAAGCTTAGGGCGGAATTCAAAAGGGTATTAATCATAGGTCGGAAATAAAAAGGGGAAAGATTTTGCCATATTTCAGATTTTGCCAAATTATTCTTAAACTTTACCATATTATATTACTTAGTAATACTGCTTAGATGTTAGGAGATGGAAAGAAATGTTGCATACATTCTTATCAAATATAATGATAAGGTAGACATAATTGGATTTTCCTCAGCTTCATTTCTTTGAGTTTCTTTCTGTCAGTGTGTCAGCGTCAATGTTATGTAAATGTAGTTTTAAATTGAAAGAATGGATAGGAGTAAATTTGTTGCAAGTTATTTCTTGAACGAGACGAGTTAGTAACGCGACGAGATATCAGAGACATCAGACATCAGAGATATCGGAGACATCAGAGACATCAGACATCGGAGATATAAAATTGATCCGTCAGTTTCTTCGGTTTCTTCGAAAGCCTTTTTAATTACCACATGTTTCGGTTTAGTTTCTTTAAAAGGTCATGAAAAATTGAAATGTGTATATATAAATTGTGTTTGTGCTAAAAAAAAAACGACGTTTTGGGGGAAAATGCTAATATAAAAAAAAAGAAAACTTTTTTTTTTTTTTTTTTTTGAAAAAAAAAGTAATATTAAAAATTTACAACCAGTCTGGTCTTTTATCAAGCTCATACTCTCATATTTGATCTCATATTTGATCTCATCAAAAAAAGTTATAGCTTTCAAAAGTACCATCCTGCGGGATTATTCTATGGGTACAGTCTATGCGAAAATACAAGGGAAGAATTCAAAATTGTTGATAGCATATATATATAGAATAGATATATATGAATAGTAGTGTAATATATAATAAAATGAATAATAAGTGTCCATGAAATATATCCATGCCAAGAATTTTTTTTTGAATTTTATATTATATTGGCAACACGAAAAGGTGTATGGGATATTTATGCAATTGTTTTTTTTGAAAATATTTTTTTGGTCATTCATAATAAACGCCAGTATCAGTATCATCAGCTCTATGAACCACAACAGGTTCATCATCTAATGGTGTTGGTGGTGGACGAGAAACCAACCTATAAGTAGGTTGACCTTCATTAGTAACACCAGTTCGTTCAGCCAAAAGTACGATATCATTACATTCAATAGTATAAAGATTTCGTACAGAATGACGTTTTGAAGTTGGAGCGGGAGCAGATGTGACAGTCAACGTCTTTCTAAGGGAAGGTTGTTTCTTGAGGGATAAAGAATTTTGACAAGCAGGACTTTCTTTAAGAAGTTGACGATTATTTACAGCCAAACGATAAGGACCAAGACCATCAATTCTAGCCTCAAGTTCTCTAAGACGTTCCATATTATCATGATCACGTTTTTGTTCTTCAACATCGTAAAGAACATCATCTAATTTTGTTTTAAGAGCAACAGTATTTTCATAATCGAAACCTTCCTTATCAGTACATTTAAGTAAATTTGAAATAAGAAGAGGATATTTAAGAAGACGTTGGAAAGGTTTAAGAAGGTAAGTGGATAAGGGCATATTTCTGCAAGAAGGTAATTTTTGTTGTTTCTTAACAGCACGACCTAATTTATCCTTCTTTCTAATAGATTCATCAAGTTCTCTTAAAGCATCTTCATAATGAATAAGATATGGAGCGTATGCACGGAATACCCATACATAAGCTAAAAGAATATCAGAGATACTTCGAACCAAAGGAGATTGAGCTTCTTGACGTTCATTTAAACAATTGCTAATTACTTCATGAATGAATAAGAAATATGAAACTGAGTTGAATATTTTGTTTAGGTTTTCTGGAACTATTGGTTTACGACTTTTTTCTTCAACTTTTTTGATGGGTTGAATAAAGATTTCTTCAATCAAACGTAAGTCGCGAACATATCTATTATAATAATGAAAATAATGAATAAATGAATAGGTAAATGGTTAGATATGGTTAGATATTGTGAAATTGTGAATATAAAATAAATAATATAAAAATATATAATAATATATAATAATAATAATAATAATATATATATATATAATAATATTATCGTTATTAAATCTATTAAATCGGATCAAAAAAAATCATGTGCTTAAAATGGGAGTTGGTACGACAATGTGACTTTTTTTTATATGCGGTGATCTCCGTAAGATTATCGACAAAAGGGGTTAAAAGGATTTTAAACATATGATTAAAAAATGTAAGATATGATTAAAAAATGTAAGATATGATTAAAAAATGTAAGATATGATTAAAAATGTAAGGGTTCTATTTTTATTTTAAATTTTAAATAATAAATTTATTTATGAAAACATCATGAAAACATTCATGATAGAAATTCTATTTTATATAATAGAAAGGTTAATAATAATATTAATATAATTGTAGTACTTACTCATGCTCTGTTTTAATAATTTCAAAAAGAACTTCTTGACGGTTAAGTTCTCTTGGTGACAAGTTTGCGACGAGGTCAACATCAACAGTATCAGACCAAATAGTATTTCGTCGACAAGCATTATCAGTACGATGAACTATAGTTTGTCTGCGGATGTTGCTTGAACTACTGCTATTCTTTCGGCTGTGTGAAGTAGGGACAATAACATTTTGAAGTGTGGAATCCTTTGCCGGAGCAGTTTTTGCAGTGTTATTTAAAAATGGTATGTGTAAATTTTTTGATAAAAATTTAAAAGACGACATTTTATTAGTCGTATGATGTGCTTCTTCTGTTATGGATGTGGGATGGTTATTTGATACTCGAATCTTTTGTTGTGAACTATCACGACGTCCAAAAAGCGACATACTATGTGGATGGAGAAAAAAATGCAGGTGTATATATATATAAATGCTATTTCCAATTATTTTAACAATAAAAATAAAAATAGTTTGATGATAAAAAAGTATCTCGAAAAAAAAAAAAAAATTTTTTTTGCAAATTTTTCCTACTTGGCGGAATTGGGCGCTCTTTTATAAGTCCAGGATGGTACAAGACGGCAAAAGGAAATTGCTTGTTACAAAAAGAAAAATGTTTAATTTATGTAAGATAATATATATCGGTTATTTAAAGAACCAATATAATTTTTATTTTATACTTCATGCGTCTCGTGTTACTCACTATGATTGTTAAATATAATTTTGTAATTTGGTATATATATATTTCCAATTATACATTTTTTTATACTACTACTTAGTGTAACAAAGAGTTATTCTAATAAATTACCAAATTGTATTATAAAACGTTGGCGCGCAATTTTTATTACACTATATATACTATATTATACGTATATATTTTATATTATAACGATATATGATATATAAATAAATCTGGTTACATGGATTTTTTTGATATATTAAATTTTTTTTTGTTACAACGCACAAACTAAATTTATAAATTTATAATGTGACATCTACATTAATGTTAATGTAGATTCTACTATGTGTGTTGCAGACAACCAATTAAATTGAAGTAACATTTAATAAATTAAACAATATGAAATTATTTGTACATACCGTACGTAAGTACCGGTAAAGTACGAATAAGTACGAATCACAAAAAAAAAATTTATCACATTTTTTGCCGAATCTTTTCAGGGCTTAGATTCGGCAATGTTTTTTTTATTAATCCTCATATTAACCTGTTTCCAGTACAAATAATTTTTTTGGTAAATTGTCTAAAATTATCTAAAATTATCAATTATCGTTATCTGTTCTGTGCAAATTATTATCTGTATTATCTGAAGGTAATTCAATCTCGTGTTAATTTTTTATGTTTCGATATGTTTCGGCTTGTTTCGATATATTTCGATTTGTTAAATATTACTACTAATCTTGTTAATTAATAACAATAAAAAAATTACTTATTCACACCCTGAATTCTAATTCTATTTGAAAGACAAATAATCATTACGCCGTTCAAAGGAGTCTTGCGTACAGTACGTAGGTACATAGGTACATAGGTACATAGGTACATAGGTGCGTAGGTACGTACAGTACGTACAGTACGTACGTATGTAGGATACGTACAATATCCTGATA